CTATCAATAATAACTTTAAATGTAAATGGATTAAATTCCCCAGTCAAAAGGCATAGGGTAAATGAGTGGATAAGAAAACATGACCCATATATCTGCTGTCTACAGGAAACCCACCTCACAAAAAAAGACGCACACAGACTGATGGTGAAGGGATGGAAAAAGGTTTTTCAGGCCAATGGAAGTGAAAAAAAAGCCGGGGTAGCAATACTTATATCTGACAAATTAGATCTCAAAGTGAAGGACATAAAAAGAGATCAAGAAGGCCACTTCATAATACTAAAGGGAGCAGTCCAACAAGAAGAAATAACTTTGGTAAATATATATGCACCCAATATAGGAGCACCCAAATACGTAAGAAATCTTCTGGAGAAGATCAAGGGAGAGATTGACAGCAATACAATCATAGTAGGGGATCTTAACACCCCATTATCTCCACTGGACAAATCCTCTAAACAGAAACTCAGCAAAGAAACATCAATCCTAAATGACTCACTAGATCAGATGGAATTAATTGACATCTTCAGAACATTTCACCCCAAAGTCACAGAATATACATTCTCCTCGGGTGCACATTTGTCATCTTCAAAGATAGACCATATATTGGGTCACAGACAAAGTCTCTTCAAATTCAAGAAAATTGAAATCATATCAAGTATCTTCTCAGATCACAAAGGCATAAAACTGGAAATCAACTACAACAAAAACAATCCAAAAAAATCAAACACATGGAGACTAAATAGCATGCTATTAAACAACGACTGGGTCACCAGTGAGATCAAAGAAGAAATAAAAAACATCATGGCAACAAATGACAATGAAAACACAACAATCCAAAACCTATGGGACACAGCAAAAGCAGTCTTGAGAGGGAAGTTCATAGCTCTACAAGCCTACTGCAAGAAACAAGAAACAATGAGAATAAATGACCTAACTCTACAACTCGAAGAATTAGAAAGAGAGCAACAAAAAAAGCCCACTGTAAGCAGAAGGAAGGAAATAACAAAGATCAGAGCGGAGATAAACGACATAGAGACCAAAAAAACAGTACAAAAGATCAACAAAACCAAGAGCTGGTTCTTTGAAAGGATAAACAAGATTGATACACCTCTAGCCAGGCTCACCAAGAAACAAAGAGAGAGGACCCAAATAAACAAAATCAGAAATGAAAGAGGAGAAATAACAACAGACCCCATAGAAATACAAAGGATTGTTAGAAAATACTATGAACAACTCTACTCCAACACACTAGACAACCTGGAGGAAATGGACATATTCCTAGATAAATACAACCTTCCAAAACTTAACCAGGAAGAATCTGAAAATCTCAATAGGCCAATAACTATGGAGGAAATCGAAGCAGTAATCAAAAAGCTTCCAGCAAACAAAAGCCCGGGGCCAGATGGCTTCACAGGGGAGTTTTACCAAACATTCAAGGAAGACCTAAAACCTATCCTCCTCAGACTATGTCAAAAGATCCAAGAGGAAGGAGCACTTCCCAGCTCATTCTATGAAGCCAACATCACCCTAATCCCAAAACCAGATAAAGACAATACAATGAAAGAGAATTACAGGCCAATATCCCTCATGAACATAGATGCCAAAATCCTCAACAAAATCCTAGCAAATCGGATCCAGCAGTACATCAAAAAGATCATACACCATGACCAAGTAGGATTTATCCCAGGGATGCAAGGATGGTACAATATCCGCAAATCAATAAATGTGATACATCACATAAACAAATTGAGAGAGAAAAACCACATAGTCATATCAATTGATGCGGAAAAAGCATTTGACAAAATCCAACACCCTTTCTTGATAAAAACTCTCAGCAAGATAGGAATTGAGGGAACATACCTCAACATAATAAAAGCCATATATGACAAACCCACAGCCAACATCATAATCAATGGGCAAAAACTAAAACCATTCCCCCTAAAAACAGGAACAAGACAGGGATGCCCCCTCTCACCACTCCTGTTCAACATAGTACTGGAAGTACTAGCCATTGCGATCAGACACGATGAAGAAATAAAAGGCATCCAGATTGGAAAAGAAGAAGTAAAACTGTCCTTATTTGCAGATGACATGATACTGTACATACAGAACCCTAAAGACTCCATCAAAAAATTATTAGACTTAATAAATGAATTCGGCAATGTAGCAGGATACAAAATTAATGCTAAGAAATCCATGGCATTTCTTTACACCAATAGTGAACTTACAGAAAGTGAAACTACAGAAGCAATCCCATTTACCATTGCACCAAAAAAATTAAAATACCTAGGAATAAACTTAACTAAGGAGGTAAAAGACTTATATGCTGAAAACTACAGGACACTGAAAAAAGAGATAGAGGAAGACATAAACAGATGGAAGAATATACTGTGTTCATGGATTGGTAGAATCAACATCATCAAAATGTCCATACTACCCAAAGCAATTTATAGATTCAATGCAATCCCCATTAAATTACCAACAGCATATTTCACAGATCTAGAACGAACGTTCCAAAAATTCATCTGGAATAAAAAAAGACCCCGAATAGCTGCAACAATCCTCAGAAAGAACAAAGTAGGTGGGATCTCAATACCAGATATCAAACTGTATTACAAAGCCACTGTTCTTAAAACAGCTTGGTACTGGCACAAGAACAGACATATAGATCAATGGAATAGAATAGAGACCCCAGAAATCAACCCAAACCACTATGCCCAATTAATATTCGACAAAGGAGGCAAGAACATACAATGGAGTCAAGACAGTCTTTTCAATAAATGGTGTTGGGAAAATTGGACAGATACATGCAAAAGGATGAAACTAGATCACCAACTCACACCATACACAAAAATAAACTCAAAATGGATAAAAGACTTAAACGTAAGACGGGAAACCATAAAAATACTAGAGGAATCCACAGGCAGCGAAATCGCAAACATATGCCGAAGAAATTTCTTCTCTGATAATGCTCCTAGGGCAATGGAAACTAAAGAGAAAATAAACAAATGGGACTACATCAAAATAAAAAGCTTTTGCACAGCAAAGGAAACCATCAACAAAACAACAAGAAGACCCACTACATGGGAGAACATATTTGCCAATGATACCACCGATAAGGGTTTAATTTCCAACATTTACAGGGATCTCATGAAGCTTAACAAAAGGAAGATAAACAATCCAATAAAAAAATGGGCAACGGACCTAGATAGACACTTTTCGAAAGAGGACATACAGAAGGCCGAAAGACATATGAAAACCTGCTCAAAGTCACTAATTATACGAGAGATGCAAATCAAAACGACAATGCGTTATCATCTCACACCTGTCAGAATGGCTATCATCAACAAATCAACAAACAACAAGTGTTGGAGAGGATGTGGAGAAAAAGGAACCCTTCTGCACTGCTGGTGGGAATGCAGACTGGTGCAGCCACTGTGGAGAACAGTATGGAGCTACCTCAGAAGACTAAAAATGGAACTCCCATTTGACCCAGTGATCCCACTACTAGGAATATATCCCAAGAAACCAGAAACGCCAATCAGAAAGGATATATGCACCCCTATGTTCATAGCAGCACAATTCACCATAGCTAAGATTTGGAAACAGCCTAAGTGCCCATCAGCAGATGAGTGGATTAGAAAACTGTGGTACATATACACAATGGAATACTATGCTGCGGTAAAAAAAAAGGAACTCTTGCCTTTTGCAACAGCATGGATGGAACTGGAGAGCATTATGCTAAGTGAAATAAGCCAGTCAGAGAAAGATAAATACCACATGATCTCACTCATTTGTGGATTATAGAGAACAACATAGACTGATGAAAAGGGACAGACTCAAAGACTGAGAAACAGCAATCAGGCTATCAATCCCCAGAAGGAAAGTAGGGGAGGGCGGGGGTAAGGGGAAGAGATCAACCGAAGGACTTGTATACATGTATATAAGCCATACCAATGGACATGGACAACAGGGGGATGGGAGCATGAGTGTGTGGGGGGGGAGGTTGGGGGTTAATGGGGGGGATGAGGACACATTTGTAATACCTTAACTAATAATAAAAAAAAAAAAAAAAAAAAAAGAAAAACCCTAAAAAAAAAAAAAAAATTGTCTACGTAAGTACACTGCATGTCTAGTATAGATGAGGGTTTTCTTGCTACAAAGAAACCAAAACAAGTTCTGAAGGAAATTGGATACTGAGGCTGATATGACTGTAACTGTTACCCATACTCCCCCCATTTAATCTTTTGTTAATGAGAATGTCTTCCTTGTTCTCACTGACTGCCATATGAATAAGAAAATATAAATTTGATCCAATATTTTAAATACATACTAATTATTGTTTTCATTGCTTCATATATTGGGATTCTGCATAAGATACCATTTAAATTTTATGCATTTTGGGATTTTGGAAATTTTTCTCCACATATTAAGTCTCCTATTCCATTTTGACTTCACTCATTTCTCAGGGATGTTCTGAAAGCATTCCCCTCCCCACGCCCCACAAATCAAACAGTGAAGCAGGGAGGCTTCCTGTTGAAAAAATATTTACTGACTTTAAATAGCTCACATCTTTTTTCTGAGGCTCTACCTCAGAGCTTGTGCTGCACAAATATTGTTGGCTGGATTGTAAGGCTATTGTTGTTATGCCTAATATAAATATTTTAGTTGCTGTTTCATGAGTAGTATTTGGAAAGTGATACGTATCCTTATTTTAATCTCTTTTGTACATGCAGCAACTGAGCTGCATGTGTGGGACTTTATCAGAAGTAGGTTAGATATGGCCCGTGTCATTAAATTGTCTCCTTCTCTTCCAAAACCTGTGTGGTTACCTGTAAGGTAAGTGGCAGCGACCACTGGCAAGGTTATGAGAAGTGGTAAGGGGGAAGGAGACAGCGAAAAAATCAAAGACCATTGAGTGCCTAATAGGTGTGGATATTTATTGACACACATTGAACCTGTTGTTCAAAACCAGTCATGTGTGCATTCTGTTCTATTCATAGGTGATCATGGAGGAAGCACTTTACTCCCACCGAACGTCACAAATGAATTTCCAGAATATGGGACCATGGAGGACGGTGGAGAAGGCCTAAGAACTTCTCTCGAGTTTGATGCAGAGTCTCTGCCATGCTGCCCGCAGGGGCAGCAGGGGGTTCAGCCTCATCCCAGCCACCACTCTGGGCTCGACAGTATTATAGAAGGACCAAAAGATGTTGGAGGGGGCTCCTCTCAAAGTCACCTCAAGGAACAAAGTTTACAACCCATAGACTCTTTGATTTCAGCTCTGAAAGCTACAGAAGCCAGAATAGCTTCTGGAACATTACAGGCTACAAAGGTACTGGACAAAGATGCTGTTTCTAGTCTCTCAGTTCAGCAGGTGGACAAAGAGCTGGACACTGCCAGTCTTCAAACACAGACAGCCAACAAACTGTTCCCTGCTGGCCAGGAAAAACCACCAGATATACCTCTTTCAGCTGAAGTGACGACGGGGGAAGGTGTTCTTTTGCGCATCCAGGAGGATCTGACAGTGCTGCTAAGTGGAGAAGCTCAGGGGGAGCTTTCCCGGGTAACTGCCAATGGGAGGAAAGGGGCTCTCCGCGTGCAGGAGCCAGCTTGTCCTGGGTCCTCCCTGGGGAGTCCAGCTGCAGCCCACAGCTCTGTGGGCAGCATTGGCTTCCTGAGAGAGGGGAGGTCTGACCTGCAGAGAGAGCACCCAGGGGCATGTGATCGAGGTAGCTCCACGGGACGGCCTGGCCGGGTCAAACATGTGGAATTTGAAGGGGTGGAAATACTGTGGACAGGAGGGAAGAAAAGAGAGACATGGCAACCTGCGGATTTTGAGACATCCTCAGAAAGGACTACCTCTCCTGAAAGTCAGGGGTTTTCCAAAGTGCCAAGCCACCTCATCTCTTCTGCTGGTTTGTGTAATTCAGTTGGTTTCACCGAGCGTGTTGGGGCCGACACCTGGAGAGGGCCTTCAGAGAGGCTGGCCACTAGCTCGGGGACATTCCCCCCCGCGCCTCTTGTCGAGGGTGGAGAGGATGAAGTCTTCCTAAAGGAAAACAAAGACCATCTTGAGGAGAAGCCTGAACTGGAGAGAGACAAGGAGAGGTGAGCCCCCATAGTCCTACTGTCTGTGGTCCTGGTACATATAGTTGGAAACGATTATCCTTGCTTGGCTTTGAGAACTCAGCTCCCAGTTTCCTGGGTCCTTTTTATCAAACAACAGAAGAGAAGTTCCTGTAAGCTAGATTCCTTCTAAGTATCCAAGATATTCGGGTGATCTTGTTATCAAGTTGTCCATTAGGCATAGACCAGAAAAGCAGAATGATGGAGAGACTGTGAATGCTAAACTATGTGAATCCATTTCTGACATTGTTATATTTGACAGGCTTCAGGTTTTCCAACACCAAGGTAACTACAACACCCCATAATTATCTTTAAAATATGAAAAGATTTGGACTCTTTTGACATACCCTGTAGTCATTGTATCCTAACTAAGGCATTTTTTTCTGGGTGCAACACCAGTGCCTGCATCCAGCCTACACACACGTATGAACACAGAGGTTCTGAGTGAGGGGCTGGCTCAGTGTTTTAGGTTTAGAGAGGAGGTCAGGAGGCTAGAAATAGACTGTAATTCAGTTGTTCTGTGGCATTCACATGAGAATCCCTTCTCACAGGAAGAGCATGTTTTGATTATGTCCCTGATAAGTAAACTCAGCATCATATGGTATTTCCTGGTCTTTCCATTCATTTCTGACATCACATCCACACCAGCTGAGAGCGTGGGTCAATGGAAGACATGCCCCGTCTTTCTCCACTTCCTGTGTGCGTGGTCTGGCCACACTGTGCTCCTTTCGGCAGTCACTTGAGGCACCATTTCAGATTTGCACCATCTTTTCTGCCCTGGCTTCATGACGCCACATTTCATTGTTCTTAAGGGAGAACATCAGTGTCAAAGCTGAAGCATTTTTTTTGTTTGTCTGGTTGGGATAGGGAAATGCCTTTTCCTCTATAATTAATTATAAGTACAAGGAGAGTGAGGCTCCTTTGGAATGGCTATCAGGGCTCCATCTCTCCACTCCTCCTTTCCCATCCCCCAACACATAAAATCTTCAGACTTCCCTCAAAAGCAGCCTTGATATGTGGCACATGACTCAGCAATTACATTTCCATGGAATATGCACTTTTGCTGTTGCGTAGATTATTCATTTCTCCTTTCCTCCCTCCCGCCTCCCCTCCTTCCTATTCTCCCACAAATATTTTTTGATTGTCTTCCATGTCCTTGACACTGCTAGATGCTGGGCATAAAGGAATGTTTAAAATAGACACAGCAGCCCTGGCTTGGTTTGGCTCAATAGACAGAGCTTCAGCCTGTGCACTGAAGGATCCTGGGTTTGATTCCGATCAAGGGCGTGTACCTTGGTTGTAGGCTCAATCCTCAGCCCTGCTCGGGGAGTGCATGCAGAGGCAACCAATCGATGTGTCTCTCTCACATTGAGGTTTCTCTCTCTCTGCCTCTCTCTCTCCTTTCCACTCTCTCTAAAAATCAGTGGAAAAATATCCTCGGGTGAGAATTAGCAAAAAAAACCCAAAACAACAAAACAAAACAAAAATAGACACAGCCCATGGTCACTGCCCTCATGTAGTTTACTGCTGAGGATAAACATTGACCGCAAAAACACATTAATAATTATAGGACCACAAATTGTGCTAGGTTCTGTAGGGTAAAGGAGAGGGACACACAAGAAAGAATCATTTGAAGACAGGAGAGGCTAATTAATTTGATGAATTGGGCAAGGCCCTTCTTTGGAGGTGATCATTAGGCTGAGCCTTGAGGAATGACTGTGAGTTAGCCAGGCAGAGAACAGAGGGAGAAGATTCTAGGGCAGGGGTGGGCAAACTTTTTGACTCGAGGGCCACAATGGGTTCTTAAACTGGACCGGAGGGCCGGAACAAAAGCATGGATGGAGTGTTTGTGTGAACTAATATAAATTCAAAGTAAACATCATTACATAAAAGGGTATGGTCTTTTTTTTTTTTTAGTTTTATTCATTTCAGGCTGGATCTGGCCCGCGGGCTGTAGTTTGCCCACGGCTGTCCTAGGGAGAGGGACTCACAAGGACAGAGGAGGCTACTGGATTGCCCGGAGTTGTGTGAAGCAAAGGCCTTACGACAAGTTTGAAGACTTGACACTCCACCAGTGTGGCTGGAGCATAAGGAGCTGGGGAGAGTGGTGGGAATCAGTGTGTGGGGAGGAGCTTTATCATAGGAACTTTTCATTTTATTCCAAGTATAGTGAGAAGTCATTAAGAGACAGAAACCCTCTTGGTACGTGGTAGGCCTTCAGTCATTTAAAAACAACCAAGACAATTGTATTGTTGAAGATGAATCCTGTCAATATCTAGGAGGAATGTAGATTGCTTATGAGGTATTTTTATTCCTATTTTTATTTTGTTTCTATCTTTAGGAACCTGAGGCTCGGAGAGGTTAAGTTGTTAGGTGACATAGCTAGCCTTCAGCACACCCAGAATCCAGCTCCAGGTTTTTCTAATTCTTGACCTCATGTGCCTGACTGAGTTTTAAAAATTTTACCTACTTAGCGTAATGTTCATTTTTAATATTTGAAGAACCTGATACATATTAATTAATTAATGCCCACCCCTGTATATTAACTTAAAAATTGTTTCTAGCTTTTCACTGTTTTGGTTAGCCTTGTTGTAAACATGTCTGTGGGCTTTTTTTTTTCTTTTACGGTCATTCACTGTCTAATTTTGGACTTGGAATCTCTCTGCAGTTCTGCCTTATTGTCAGCAGGGGGCAGCCCTCAGATTCTAATGTCATCTGCTTGAGGGTGCTTGGTCTTTAAATCAGAAAGTATTAATAGACTGATGAAAGCTTAGTGTATTTTTACTCCATTAAGTTTACACAACATATTTACTTGCTTCTGTTAAAATTAAGCATGACGGTAGCCGTTAATTATTTGAATATGTGAAGTTTCGTTGGCTGAAATGGGAATATTTTATTGAAATCTTCATTGGACTAATGCATTCACATACTAGGAAACTAGTTTGAACCTATGTTAAATTATTCTGAGGGTAGTGTAGCACACGTAGGCTATGCTTTTCAACCTGAGTCTGTTTCTATGGTATCTTCCTTCCCAGATATATTAAGACGTAAGCCCAGTGAATACAAGTGTTGGCGCTACAGAATGTTATTTTTTTATATGGTTGAAGGGGGGAAAAATCAAAAGAAAAAGTTAACCTGATATTGAAATTCTTCACTCTCATTTCTTCGCAGGATTCTTGACCACGAGGAGCACTTTGCAGGAGGAGAGGATGACATCCTTGGGCCCGGGTACACAGAGGACTCCACTGATGTGTACAGCTCCCAGTTTGAAACCATCTTGGATAACACCTCTTTATACTACAGTGCTGAGTCCCTGGAGACATTATACTCAGAGCCCGATAGCTATTTCAGCTTCGAGATGCCCCTCACTCCCATGATACAGCAGCGCATTAAAGAAGGCGGTCAGTTCCTGGAGAGGACGTCAGTGGGGGGACAGCACGACATCCTGAGCGTCTCCTCAGACGGCGGGATCGTGATGGGCTCTTCTAGCGAGATCAGCAATGGGCTCAGTGGCGCTGGGGAATCCATCTACACGAAAGGCACCCCGGAGATTGCCTTCTGGGGAAGGTACTAGTCCCATTCTCTATTTTTGTGCTGGTGGTTTTTGTATCATTTTCTCTTTGAGAAATCAGAGTATGGAATATATTTGAAAAGCATTTGGCCAGTTTCTATGGACGATGTGAGTAAAACATAATTTGGGTTTCAGGGCCAGGTAGAGCGCCCTTTAGTGGTTTGCCAAATTGGCAGGCTGCGATCCCTCATTTATTGGATGACCATGTACACTTTGGCCACAGCCCTGAACGTACACCTGTGAGTGAGGAGGAGTAGATGTCAGCTCCGATGACGCAGCTTTGGTGGCAGGGCCTGGTGCTGTTAAAGGACACAGAGAGGTCTTGGCTTTCGTTCTGACACTGACATTGGTTGATGACTTGGAGCAGATTGTTTGATTCGGGCAGAGGTTCCTTAATTGAAAGCTGAGAGTGTGGGTTTGATGGTCACCAAAGTCTCTTGCAGCCCTTTGCTCTGGAAGGTCCTGCTGTCGGGCAGTCTTCCTGTTCCTGGGATGGCAGGGGAAGGATCTGATTATGTGGGTGCTGGAGAGGGCTGATACTTTGGTCAAGACTATACATATTTATTCCCTCTACATTAGGATTTGTCTACCTGGGAGATAAAATGATATTACATGGGTTCTATGTGTCATACCTGTCATTTAGTGATCCCTGTTTATGGGTTATCTAGCACTTCATTTCCTCTTGCTCATCATCCTCGGGCTGTTTACTTGTCCTTTAACATCTCCATTGGTGGGCAGAGCATGCTAAACTTCCCAAAGATGTTATGGATTTAGTTTTGACATAGTTTTCCTAAATTCAAGTGTGTTAGTGTGTGTTGGTGGAGGTGGCAAGGAGGTTGAATAGGGATAAACTGTTTCAAAGCTCAGTGCTTTTATTAAAAGTCAGTATTCATAGTACAGTTTATCAAGGAACCTCTTTTTATGAGCAGTTCATCCTGTATTAAGCATTTTCTGTCACCAGTTTGTTTATGGTCTATAGTTCATTGGATGAGTACATTCAAGACTGGGACATTATAATATGTAGCTGTGCGTTTCCATGTGAAATGGACCGCGGATGCTGGTTGTCTTCTTGGGTCACAGTGAGATAATGAAAAGATCACAGGTTTCAAAAGCAGAAAACGTTGGTCTGAATTACTTGGGCAAGCCACTTCTTCTCTCTGAAACCTGCTTTATGTATTTGCAAAATAGGGTTAATGATCCCAGTGCTCTGTGTGGCTGTGAAATTTAAAGAGCTAATTGAGATTAAAGTACCTAGCAGAGCCCTGGTTGGTGTGGCTCAGTTGGTTGAGTGTCATCCCATGCACCAAAAGATCGCCAGTTTGATTCCTGGTCAGGGCACATGCCCGGGTTGCATGCTCAGTTCTCAGTGGGGAAGGGGGGTGTGCAGGAGGTGGCTGATCAATGTTTCTCTCACATCGACGTTTCTCTCTTACTCTCCCTTCCTTTCTCTCTAAAAAATTTTTTAAAAAACTCAATAAAAAATACTGGGAAAATAAATAAAGTACCCAGCATAGTACCTGGTACAAAGCAAGAACTTGAGTAAATGTATGACTCAGAACTGGATGCTGATAAGCCCACATTTAGACTTCCTGTATCTCTGAGATGGTGCTACTGACAATTGTGATAAAATGCTATATAGCACAGGCGATGCAGAAATGTTCATTGAAATTCCAATCCAACCTTTGGGGGCAAGTGAAAGTTACTTACATTACAGACCCAAAATAGGTTGGGGAGCTGAGTGTCTTAGGCCAATAGGCTTGGCTATAGAAGCCACAGGGAGGGTAAGTAAATAAAATTCACAGAGTCAGAACAGGAAGGAATTGGGTGAAAGGTGTATCTGAAGTGTGGTCTGCTCCCTTAGAATAGGGAGGCATCATCCTTGTGGCCAGCTTAAGTGCCATCATTAGCAGGGCAGAGTCAGATAGTCAAGGGGACATTGGGTAAGGTTACAGTATTTTAGCACCTCAGATTGAGACAGTGGTGTACTTCAGCCTTCTTGGGATAAGGTTTCAGCTGCGTCACGCGCATTGTTGGACCATGAGATCTTGCCCAACGATAAGACTGAATGAGAAGCATCTTAGAGAGGAGCCAGCCGAACTTCTCACCCGGCTCTGGGCACTTTTCCCATGTATATGTCTCTACTCAGGGTTAGAAAAGATAGGGCAGTCACAATGATCTTAAGAATTTTAAAGAAACTGTTAACTTGCATATGTTGTTTTTTTTACCCCCTCTGCCTCTTGGTGCCTTGGAGAAGTTGCAGCGCCAGCGGAATTGTAATGTAGGTACAAGGATTATGATATTTTCTAGTTTGAAGTGGGGCCCTAAATAGCCTTGTTTTATAGTCAAGAATCTGAGCACCAGTTTGGTGGGATGGATTTACCTGGTGATAGATCCTGTACCAGAATTCAAATGGTCTGACTCCTAGACCAGGTACATTCACTATCCTAGCTGCCTGGTCTCATCTTTATCCTTTCCTTTGATCTAATTTCTCTCAATGCCGTTAAGTCTGTAGAGCCAGAAGTCTGAGCTGGTGATTGTAGAGCTGCTTTTGTTGTTGGTGGTGTGTTTTCAGTTGGAGAAAAAATTTACCAAATTGTTAATAAACATGTCTCCATAAATTTTAAAGTAATCAATGAGCCGGCTTTTAAAAATTCCTTCTGCATTGAAGCATTCTTCTGCAGAGGTAAGGAGGCAGACACAGAGGTATTGAACCTACGAAGGAAATCCAGACTAAAATGCTGACTGTACAGTAGTGAACAGGATTGATTTCCCTTAGCCAAGACTCAGAGCTACAGTGGTAGGATTCAAGGAAAACACATTTTCAACTGTGTATTAATAAACGTGATATGTACACAAGAAAAATGATAAATAGAACAAGGACACATGCCTAGCATTCCATATCTATTCACCAGCCCCTCCTGTTTTCTTGGCAGTGGACTGGGCAGGACTGGGGTGGGGGAGAAATCCTGACTGAATTGGATAAAGTAAACTCTGAAGAAGGAGAAAAGGAAAGGGGATGGTATCTATCTCCCTGATGATGCTTCTGTGATTCCAGCTAGACATAATCCAAGAAAATTAAGCCCATCCCTGTTGAGGTATTGATTTTAATGTTAGTTGACAGCCAGTAGAAAATATTATAAAATACTTTGGGTAAGTCTCTAAACACAGTTTTATGTCATATGCCTCCCATAGGTTTTATTATTTAGTAAATACATGGTGCTTAATTCTCATAACAAGCTGGGAGAAAGGAACTATTAATGTCTTCATTTTCCAGACAAGGGAACTGAGGCACAGAATAGTTGAGCAACTTTCTCAGAGTCACATGGATAGTAAGGGACATACCAGGATTTGAACTCAGGCAAATTTTGTTTCAAAACGAAAAGACATTTGTTTGGCATTGCTTATGTATATATTTTTTAACCCTGTTCTGTTTCAGTAAGTGCTGTTAGTCGCTGAAAATGATTTCAGTGGTAGTATTTGATTTCTTTTGAACTCAGAAGACACTGTTCTCCATTGCTGCTGCTTTAGAGAAAGGTAGAGTGTTTGGAAAGGTGATGAGGATGTTGTAGCACTTGAGCACATCTGGTTCCCCCTCAGGAAGTACCTTGCGGTCTGAGAGTGAGCCACACTTTGCTGGCTAGAGGGGGATTGTTCTTCCCTTAAGTCACAGAAGGAAATACTCAAATCTGCATATCAGGTGAGAAAGGACATGTTTAAAGAGGATGTGTGCTCACTGTTTGTCTTTTAAAGGATCATATGTCTTTGTGATAGCAAATAGATCACTCTTCATAAGGTGAAAACTTCTTTAAGATCCTGGAGTAAATCTAGACAGGAAGAGTTAAATTCTCTCAGGTGCTCGAGTGTTCTGAACACCAAGCTTGAGCCAGGGAACCACACGTCCACCAGGAAATAGCTCGCCCTGTGAATGTAACACAATATTTTAATGAAGGAGCAAAGAGTATCATCCCCTCCCTTTGTGGTCCAGCTGCAGAGCACTCAGGCTGGTGGGTCAGCGGTGCTGTGTGAAGTCCAGTCACATGGCTCCAAAATTAGAAAGGATAATTAGAGACTTACAGTAATACATGTTCCAATGGGTTCCTTTGTGTCTGGGTGCTTCTCCCTCGTCGGCCCATCAGCTGATGACTGCAACTCCAATCAGTAAGTTCTGACCTGGAGACTGTGAGGCACAGATGTTGTCATTGTGACCACTAACAGAGCTGAATATTGTCCATTTCTGTTGAGCTTAGGTTTGGACAGACAGGAAAAGAGAGATAGCAAATATAGCACTCTGGCAGAAGCTTCTCCTTTGATTCTCTGAGATATATAAAACTTCCTTTTAAACTGATCTTTTTAGTGTAATAGATATATTTTACGTCTCAGCTTCCCAGTTTTTCTCTCGGATACGGCTCAGGGTACGGAGGACTCAGGAGACCAGTGCAGCAGAGGAGGTGGATTACATCTGCGTGCCACTGATATGCCTGAGGAGAGCGCTCCCCCGGACGCGGGTCGCTCTGAATTTGGTAGTTGTGGTTTGGTGCCTTCCTCTTGTTTTTTCCCCCTTCTCAAGTGGAATGCTGGCATTTAGAAGGATCCTCTTTCTTCCTCAGCTAGTCTCTCTCTCTAGTGTCTTTCTGCCTAGGAAAAAAGTTCCATGAAACAAGATGAATACAGAAATTCGTTGACTTGTGATTTCAAAAAATTTTTTTCATCCCAAATTTAAAACTGCAGACATTTTACCGGCTTGTGTAAATACTAAAATGACGTGATCTAGTTAAGCTGGTGCCAGAGGAACAGATTTTTATCTTGTGAAACTGCCTTTGGAGAGCTGGCTGACCATGGAGCTCCCTGCTCCGGGCTCCTCTGTCATTCAGAGCAGGAGGCTCTCTGCCTCAGGCTCAGTTCTGGTGGCTGTGGCTCTCCTGATCTTTTCAGTTTTATTCTTTCACATTTTAAAACTTGTTCTGTAGAAAATAGGTTCTCGTTTTTTCTCTTTCGA